TTGTTCTTGTTCTCTTCTTGTTCAGATAGAACATCATCAGATGTTTCACCTGAATCAGAAGGGACCAGCAATGATAATTATTCTGGATCATTGGATATACAGTGGCTTTCAGAGCTGATGTCTAACGCTAATGTACCAATAAAGCGGAAGGAAACTTCCCGTGGAAAGAAACAGAAATGGGTTTTTAAGAACGGTCAGGTTCCTCAATCTAAACAGTTAATTAAATTGTGTGGAGAGAAACTGGGGACAGAAGCTACTCTTCAGTTCTTTGGCCAATTGGGAAGAGAAACTGGGGTGAAAGAGTACAATGCACTTATAGCCATGTGCATAGATAAGGCCAGGACAACTGATTGTGAAGAGGTTGCATTGGTGGAAATGTCCAAAGTTTACCGACATTTTAAGGAAATGAGGAAGCACGGATTGCAGATAGATGAAGTAATTTATGGTCAATTGCTTATGTTTTTCATTGACAGGGGAATGGTAGAAGAGTTCCACTTTTTCTGTGGACCTATCAAAGATGGGAATTGTAATTCTATTCCAAGACTAGGTTATTATGAGATGCTGCTCTGGATATCAGTCAATAACGAAGAAATGATTAGGAAACTTTGTGATTACATTGCAGCTGATGATAATGAAGATAATCTTCAGTTAAAAGGTTTGATGCTAATTGATTATATAATTGTTTTATTATCTTTAGTTATTTCTTTTCAATTATGTTTTTTTTTTTTTTGTTTTGGTGGAAAATAATTCATATTATGCAATCTAATAGTAATAGACACTGTTAACCTTTGCTGATGGCTTACAGATATCTTATTCATGGTGCAGAAAACTATTTGTTAGCACTTTGTGAAAGTCAACGAACAGATGACTATTTGCGAGTATTGGAGGTCATTGATATAACAAAAATTTCTGATAAGCATGCAGCAACTGTGTTTAAATCGCTGGGGAGGCTGTCATTGGAGTCCTTCACTGAGAAGTTCCTCTTGGCATTCAAAACCCTTGGTAGGATCACGATGTGTGCATTTTTATGATGTGGAGATTCCTATTTCTGTCTGGTGGAATTACTTGTGGCAACTGGCCACAGATTATTCTGAATAAAAATATCTATTTGGAAAAAATATATCTTTTCTTAAAAAGTTTCTGCAGATGATACTGTTTTAAAACATTTTATGAATTTGACTTGAGGATTTAGCAAGTAGGACGCATTTAGTTTAATGGTGATGTCCTGAGGGTTTCTGGTGCATGTGCAATTATCCTGTGCTTTTTAATTTTCTTACAAAAAGTATGCATAATCTTTTCAAGTGTAGGTTTGTAACTATAGTTCTTTGTTGGGACATCTAATGGTGTAAGATTATTAAGTTGACTAAATATGTGTTATGTCAGTTGGATGTTTGTGATATGTTTATCACACTAAATGCAGATCATGGAGCAGAGAAAATCTTGAGACTCATCTTTAGTTATGCTTCTTGCATTCCAAATATAGTGGTGAGGAATCTCTCATGATGCTGCTGGTAATTACCTTGAGTCCATGTTTTCATGGAGCACCTACATTCCACCATGTAGTTTTCAGTATCTTGATAATGTTTCTGATGTAATTTCTATAAATTTTTGGAAGTTGTCCATTTTGGTTGGCAACAAATTGGCGATTAAACCATAATTTGATTTGATATTTTGAGTAGAATTAACAATGATACTAGTTCACTTAAGTGACAATTAGTGATCAGCAGAAATTTCTGGAAGATTTTAATTACATTTGGAGAATGAATATTGCTTTTCCTTATTTTCTTCCTCTCTCCCTCTCTCTCTATTTTTATTCTTCCTTTTTATGGCTGGCTGTGATGGGAGGGCAGTGGGTACTAGGACATTCTTATTTATGCAATCATCTAAAGGCCTTTTTTATCCTTGGAGTTAAAATTATAGATCCTTGTCAATGTCAATGAGTTTTTCATGGTACTTCTTGAAAAGGTCTTGCTGGTGAGGAATTATGATTTTTGTTTAATTGCATATATAGTTTCCGCGAGAATGACCAATTCGAAGCACCTATGATAGATTTTAGTTCTTATCCTCTAAAGTGCTCTGTTTCCACATATATATACACACACACACATATATATATGACTTGAAAGATGTGAAATTTTGACATTGATGAGGCACTGGCCCCATGTAATTATTATGAATGTCTTGCAAGTGCTATGATGCATTGGTACATAAATGCTTGTAAGAGATTTGGATCTAGCTTAAAATGATAATTGCTTTAGATTGCAACAAGTTTGCTGCTTGTCTATAAGAGAGTGATTTTGTCTCTCATTTTTTTCTCTTTTTGAGCATTTTCACATAAAAGCTAAATTCGTTAACTGCCTCTTGTAAAAGTATTTCTTACACATGTTGCTTATTGAAGGTTGAAGATATTGTTCTGAAATTTGAAAGCTTGCACATGAAATTTGAGATAACACCATCATTAGAATCATACAAGGAGCTCATTAAGTTTTGCTGTAGTTCACGTAAGGTAAGACTCAAACTATGAGTAAAGGGAATAAAAAACATTTGAAATAGTGCTATTAGCTCCTTTTAAAGGTCTTTTCTTATCAAACTTCTGTTCTCTTATCTTTTAGCAAATGCTTTGAAATTGATTAATGTTTATTTATCAAATGTAGGTGCAACTGGCTCTTGATATCGTTAACCAGATTTCTCAAGGCAGTTTGAACTTGTCCATAGACATGCTAAATTGCATATTGCATGCTATTGAAGAGAACCATGAGTGTAATTTGGTATCGCACTTCAATTCTCCAGTTCTACCAAGTTGTTTTACCCTTATCCTGTTTTATCATTACTCTCATTGAGAATTTTATATTGTTGTTGACTGTTGACCACTATCTGAGTTTCTTATTATCTTTCTTGTCATTTTGTTTGATCCTAAGGTTCGGCAAATTTATTCAGTGTTCTGTTGCCATAGCCTTAAGCCAAATGCTGAGACATTCAGAAGGATGATAAGTTTGAGTGTGAAAATGAAAGATGTAAGTTGCTATCCAGGTCTCCTGTTTTGTAGTTCCCAGTGCTTGTGCATATTGCAAGTTAATTCTTTTTGATTTTCCTAATTCCTAATTTCATTTTAATGGGAGTGTATTTTATCAAACTAATTTTATTCCGAGTTTAAGTTAAATAGAGCTTGTATTTCTTCTCATCCATTAAATGCAGTTTGGTGGTGCATATGCGATGCTGAATGATTCAAGGAAAATGAATGTTAAACCTGTAGCTGGCATGTATAATGCTATAATGGCAGGATATTTTCGAGAGGTGATTTTACAGTCTAATACCTTTTGTATTTATTTTGTTTCTTCTTTTCTTTTTGGAGAAGCTTTATTGCCATTTTAATCTGAAACACGCCTCATGCATGATTTATGTCACTGTTATATAATAATTTTCACAAGAAAATTTCCGCTGGGTTGAGGGTTCTCAAGCAAATGGAACTTGACAGTGTAAAACCAGATCCTCAAACTTACAGCTATCTAATAGGCTATTGTGACCGTGAAGAGGATATTATCAAGGTAGTTTGATGCAATATAGTAATTGCTTGAAGTTTATGTCTTCCCCGTTTCTATATGTAGATAAGTTCATTTCTGCTGTCTCTTGCATTACTGCTACTTCTATTCTTGTCATGCGGCAAATGGGTTTCATGGCCACTGATACAATAATTTGATTATTTGCTTGTAGTATTATGAAGAACTGAAGTGTTCTGGGATTACTGTAACAAAGCACATATTTATGTCACTTATTAATGCATATGCAGCTTGTGGACAGTTTGAGAAAGCAAAGCAGGTAGGACTGAAATACATCCATCTAGCACCATTTTCTTTTGAAGTCCCACCTGTTTTTGAGATGGAAAAGCAAGAGGAAATATACTGATTATATAGTATAGAGAAATCATCTTGATGATGCAGTTTAAACCATGATTAAGTGTTGGATATGTGATATATCTATGGGATCTGACAACTTAAAAATTCTCTGCATTCTCTCTTCGTCTTTTTTTTTTCTTACATCTTTATGCATTATTTATTATATTATGTCTGTGACGATCTCAGATATACTAATTTATATGGTAGGTTCTCTTGGATGAAGGGATACCAGTTAAAAGCCTAAATGAACTCAGAAGTGCTCTCGTCTCTTCTCTTGCATCAAATGGGCAAATGGCTGATGCCCTAGACACATATGAAGAAATCAAGCAATCTGGAGGTGATCTGGAGCCTAGAGCTGTCCTATCTCTGATGGTAAGTTCTGAACAGGACCTTTGTATTTGTTTTCCTGTACAGTCGTGATATCATGGTTTATTTTTCCTCATTTTCTCATAGGAGTGTCTTCATTCCGAGAGAGACTTGAATCTTATGCTTCAACTATTAGAGGAATTGCATGATCAAGGCTATTGGATTGAGGGTTGCTGCAGAGTTATCTCATTTTGCGTTAGAAAAAAGCATCTGAGGTTAGCTGATAAGAAATTCTTCATTATCTGGGATTCTATTTACGCTGCATAATTTTCTAACAAATCCAATATTCCAATTATAATTTTGTTATCTTT